ACGTGTGCTCTTCCGATCTCTCATCTGTACGGAATTACGAGCGTAGTGAAATAAAATATAAAGGTATGAAAAAACGGCAATACAAACAATAAGTGTGATAAAATTTTTAGTAAAGGTAAATACAATTATTTTTTAAATAGTTGAAATTCTCTCTGTTTCTTTCTCCATTTTTCTCTCTCAATTTTTCAAAGAGTATTGTGTTACATAATTTGATAAAAAATTTTGGAAGCATTAAATCTCACGGGCAACTTTTTTCATTTGATTTAATGTGTGCACGCAAGAATCTGCTTAGAAACTATCTCAATCTTTTATCAGAAGTTATAACTTTTGTTATTTTATGATAAATAACTAAGGCAAATTATGCATGAACGAGATGCATTAATTTACATCAATATTAATTGATATAACATCGATATTAATGCGACGTCAATTGTTAATTAAATAAAAAAGAATAATCTATATGTGCCCACACATATAACTCTTTCATGCAGTTTGAAATTCAAGATAAATCATATGATCGCTTTTCAGATGAGGATCTTACGGAAACATTTGTTATTTTGCATCCTAATCACATTACTGAGCGGAAACGTAGCAGATAAATCTTCCTTTCACGATGGTAATTTTATTTATTTTATATTTAACATATATACATATATTAATTTATTTTCCAAAAAATATTTATTTAAAAAAGTTGAAACGTACACATAACGCTAAAACATATAACTATACATTTTTGCACTTAATAGGAACAACACGCGTCCTCTTTAATATTTGTCCGATTAAATAAATATTAATTTTAATTTGTAATTAGCTTTTTGTGGCGATTGTGACGCGAGAGCTGCGCGTCGCCATTCTGTGCTAAAGTTCCAAATTTAAATCCACCCAGAACAGTATAACTCTAAATCGGTTTTAATCAATTGATTATTTAAAAGTAATCGTCACTTCTCGGAAGGCAAAGGCAAATCACCGAGAGTAACTTTGCCCAAAAAAATCTTTTTAAATAGGCCGTTCGGAACGGTATTAAAACTGTAGATCCTATATATCTACGGATATATATAGAAGAGATCGTCTGCGTGATGACAAACGTATGGCACGCATAGAATAATTAGCTTTTATAAGATTATATGCTAAAGTTTTAATGTTAAAGTTTTATTGTTATATAATTAAAATAAAAATTACCAGTATTAGAAAATTTTACATATTTAAAATTTGTTGTAACAATTTATACAAGTATATCGTCAAAGTAATTGCATTCAGAGTACTGATTACCTTATAAAGCCAATTTTGTCAGTTTTATAAGAAATTATATAGATAATTTTGCCAGCTTCGCGACACATTTTTAAAATAATTTGTTTAAATAATTGTATATACATACACACACACAGCTTTGAGGCAATTTATGTAATGTATTCTCCAGATACGCAAAATGAAAATATCTCACAAAATGACGACACCATCGACTACAGATTGCCATCACATGTTAAACCCCTTTTGTACGAAATCAACTTGATACCTAACTTAGATAGCTTTACATTTGACGGCACCGCAAAAATTAATGCTGAGGTAGTACAAGCAACTAACAATATTACGCTACA